GGATCCTCTCTCTACCCATGCCTTTATTGGATACGTAAAAGCCTTAGTTATTAATCACATTTGATCCTAAGTTAGGGGCCAAGGAACAGACTAGGTAGCTGATAAGAACTCCATGCTTCTTTCACATGATTTATTAAACTTTTAAAGTCCTGGAGGCACTTCACAAGTGCTGTTGAAATGGCCAATATGATATGTAAGCTACAGCTGCCCTTAGAGCAAGCTCAGGCCTCGGCTTTGGTAAAACCTACCTGACTTCTGCATTATGAAAGAGAGATTATGTTCACATCATTCAGAAGAAACAGAACAAACCCAATCCTCGTTACTGTGGACTAAATGGCATGACAAATGGCACCTGACTCTATTGCACACACAGTCTGACTTTATCACCATTTGCCAGTGGATCTCTAAGAGACACAGAAGTGACAGAAGTAAATGGGATTTATACAATCTGTGTGCACTGTAGGTTTGTACTGGGTATCAAATAGTGTGGAAATTTGAATCAAAGCTATGACATCTTACAGCCAACAGTGTGGGCATGAATAGCTCTCTCAAAGAGCTCTTCCTGACATGATAGTCTTCAGTCAGCAGAAACACAGCGTAGCTTCCTTAAAGTCTAACTGGTACCATGCCATAAATTCAGAGCTGGAAACAGCATTACTTTGAACCTCTGTCATTTCTCAGTTCCTCCAAGCTAAACTTAATTCCTTATCCTCCTTTGACAGGTAAAATAGGTGATGGAAATATTTATGAAGTTATCTGCTATGGCTGAAGACTACCCTAAGGTAACTCTCAGGTTAGATGATTTTTTTATATATATATATAACAAATCAACACCAAATTTCATGGGGCAGATTGCCCCCAGGAATTCACAGTAACTATACAAGCCTGAAAATAAATGTGATCAAAAGATAATGTATAAAACATGTACATGTTTAGATGTTTGAAGCTGATGATTCAGTACAGTTCTTTGCAGAGGCATAAGCATGTTTCCAGGAAATTGGTGAGAGAGTTATATCCAAGTATCTTTCACGAATTGAGCTCTTGTCTGTACTTAATGAAATGAATATGATAACTGACAAACACTGCAGTATCTAAGCTAGAAATCAAACAAATTTAAGAGAAGTAGTGATTAAGGATGTTTGCTGCTAACATACATAATTTCTTTTTCCACATTGACGTACTAAAGCCAGTAGTTAGCAAGACTGTGGAACAGCTTTTGAAAACATCAATAAACACATGCATACTCAATACACATAGCAAACATGAATTATTTCAGTTGAAAACTAGTTTATTCTGATCTTGTCCAGGGAGAACACACCAATTCAAGTGAACAACTAAAACCAGCTAAACACTTCAAATACTGAAGCTCCTGCAGTTCCTGAAAAAGCAAGATTATTTTACTATGCATGACGAGGTGTAAAAATCAAGATGATTCTGAACCCTTGATACTATTTCAAGAAGCACACATCACATACCTAAGTCCTATCACTAAAATTCCCTGAAAAAGCTCACACTGTGGGGGGAGAGGAGGGAGGAGAAATGAGGGGGATAAGAAAAGAAGCCCACACCCTTTTGAATATAAGTTGCTTGTAGTACCTTGACTTTATAAGCCAGGTTTTGCACTTTAAATGTGAAGGACTTTGTTGAGTTTGTGATAGAGACAAAGCAAAACCCTTTTTCTTTGGCCAGATATAAAACTTCAATATGGCTCATAGAAGTCAGTCAGACTCAGAGCAAGGGTTTTTACACTGGTACTCTACAGACTGCTTTGCTTTTCTCACTTCATCCATCACAGGTCAATTGCTAAATCCTGGCAGCTTATAAGAGCACATCAGGTGTGGAAAGCATTTTCAGAATACTTAATGGCCACATGCTAAAGATTTTAAAGTTCAATAGCACCATCAGAACAGTCTGCTGAAGAGTCCTCTTAGAGTAATCTGGAAATTAACATTAAACTCCAAGGACACTTTCTTATACATGCATATCAAAGGTAGTAAAAAAGGCTCAGTGTTTACTGCTAACACACTGATAGGCACTCCAGAGCTTCACTGGTATTGCTAAGTGTGAAAACTTATATCTAACTGAAAAAAAAGCGCTGAATCTATTTTTCCCCTCTCCTTAAAAACAAAAAACAAAAACAAAACAAAAACCAAAAAGCCTCAAACTGTTAATGAAAGACTGTATTGCTGGAAACCCACATTGACCTTTCTTGTAATTAACAATACATTGCTTTCTTCTTTGTGGTGTAGTTCATTTGTGTTGATAACTTTTTCTATTTTCCCTGGAAAATAGTTAAGCAATGAAAAAAACTTGTGGAGCATGTGTTAAATGTCTTCAGAGTTGTTAGAAGCAGTGCAGGCTCCTTTTCACACTCCTTATTCTATTACTTACAAAAGGTCTTTTAGACTTTAGCTCCATTCTGACTGTGTTTATAAGTAGAGAAAGAAATAATGCCATCTGTCAGTCATTTTCTCCAAAGGTTGAAATTACTCTCTATTATGAGCAGCATATCTGAAAACAGACCTGCAGAGAGTATTTCTTTAATGTCAGTAACTAAGAAGGCACTATCTAGTAAGTTGGAACTGCTGTTATTGTCATTTTTTTTTGTGTTCAGACCACTGGATCCACCAAAGTGGACTGCAGCAGTAAAGAATTGAAGAGATATTTGAATATTTTAAAATTTTCAAATAACACTTAACTTTACTAACACTAAAAATATTTTTAACAGCTCTATTTTAGGAATGTAATGGTAAAATGAAATTTCTAAACAAATTTAGAAAACAGATAAGCATTATTATATTTATATTAAAAGAAAATTGTAATTTTAAACAATTCTTTTTTCAAGAAAGGTAGTTGGCTTAAAGCACAATTTTTACTTTTGACTACTAATGTCATAAAAAATTACATTTCAGTACTTTCAGAATTCATGTTTCTATTTATAACATATCCCTTTTCAATTTGCCAATTTACTAAACTATGAAATGGCTCTTGAATGTGAATTGTAATACATATATTAAAAATGAAATAACATTTACTGCAATTCTATCTTGAGAAAAATGTCTAGTTAAGATTAAAATTCAGAAGATTCCACTGAAAAGCCTACTTCAAACATTTCAGATGACAAAATGTAACTTTTTAATAACTTTCAGGCTTGCAAAGCATTCATAACAGTTCCAATGAAGTAATTTTTTTTTAATCTTTTTTTGCAAACTTTTGTGATCTCCACAACTGTGCTACATATTGTTCTTCATTGTGTCCTGTATAATAAAAGAAGTGGAATCTGACCACCAGACAATAAAAGTTGGGAAATCTTGCAAGGGCATCTCATGTATCATCCAGAAGTTTCAACGTTGCACATTTTGAATTTCAATAAGCTTTATATCTGTTGAATGCCTTTGGGAGTTACGATCCTGATATTTCACAATTTTCAATAGAAGGCTGGATTAAAAAACAGTGATAATTTTCTGTAAAATATTTAGTACTCTTTCATAATCTAGCAAATCTGACAGATTTTTCTGCCCTATATTTATTTTCTTCTATTTGATTTCCTCCCAGGTTTGTTTAGTATGAGAAGCTCTTATTCTTGCTTAGTATTCAGGTACTTTGATCCTGGTTTGAATGTAATAGAATTTTCTGTATATAAATTAAAGAGTAAATTAAGGAAATTTCTCTGTAGACCTTGTGGTTGACACCAAAACAGATGAGAAAGCCTTTAGAAATTGCTCCAAATAGAAAAGAGTCTAAAAGTGAAATGAATTTTGATGACATTGTCAGAGTGAGAGGGATCTGATTAAAAGGTGTTATAGCACACATTTGAAACACGCTCCATAATATTTGTGGAAGACTTTTGTCCTTAGAACCATTGCTGCAATAATGTATACAACTCTGTACAAACTAATTGTGTTTAAAGCAATAATGTGGAGATTACAGATGCAGAAGTCATTGACTGGGAAGGAGGTAGTCAAAGTTACGGATTGGGAAGTTACAAACATAATTCTATAACTTGCTAGGAACTTGTATCGACATCAGCGAGCGTCTGTAGAGTCGGATGAATTCTAGAGTTTAGCATCTGCTCCTGCTACTCTACATAGGTTCAAATGCTACTATACTGAAACAACTTAGAACCATCAAAACACACTATATATGCCCTAGGGGAATATTAAAAGGATATAGAGCAAATATCATAGAATCACAGACTAACAGAATGGCTTGGGTTGGAAGGGATGTTGGAGATCTTGTTCCAATCCCCCTTCCATGGGCAGGGATACCCTTTACTAGACTAGGCTGCTCCGAGCTCCATCCAGCCTGGCCTTGATCATTCACAGGGATAGGGCATCCACAACTTCTCTGGGCAAGCTGTTCCAGTGCCTCACTATCCTCATAGCAATTAATTTTTTCCTAATATCTAATCTAAACCTACTCTCTTTCAGTTTGAAGCCATTTCCCCTTGTCCTATCACTATATACCCTTGCAAAAAGTCTCTCTAATTATCTTGTAGGCTCCTTTTGGGTGCTAGAAGGCTGTAATTACCTCGCCCCTGAGCCGTCTCTTCCCCAGGCTGAACAACCCCACCTCTCTCAGCTGCTCCATGCATCTAATAATCTTGGTGGCCTCTTCTGGACTCACTCCAACAGATTAATCTCCTTCCTGTGCTGGACCCCAGAGCTGCTGCAGCACTGCAGGTGGGGTCTCACAGAGCAGAGCAGAGGGGCAGAATCCCCTCCCTCCCCTGCTGCCCACGCTGCTTTGGATGCAGCCCAGGACACGTTTGGTTTCTGGGCTGGGAGTGCCCATGGCTGGGTCATGTCCAGCCTCTCACCCACCAGCACCCCAAGCCCTTCTGGGCAGGGCTGCTCTCAGTCAGTGCAGCCTGTGCTGATATAGTGGATTGCCGTGACCCAGGTGCAGCACCTTGCACTCAGTCTTAGTAAACCTCGTGAGATTCCCATGGGCCCACTTCTCAAGCTAGTGCTGGTTGCTTTGGATGAAAATCAAGGAACTCCTTCAATCTGGAATTGAACCAGAGACTTAGGGATTCCTGCAGGCCATACTTCTACCATCTGCTCTACCAGCTGAGCTTTTGAAGGGAGACATGGATGGATAATTACATACCTCTCCTGTGTACCTTGGCAGAAATACTCTTTAATATGATTTTTCAATCCTAGTCCAACCAGTCAGAGATGGTCCTTTCAATTAAAGCTTTCTAAAAAATATATTTTACTCTCTGTGTGGTTCCTGTCACAATAATATGTTTATCCTAAGAGATATAGAAGGCTTCTACTTTCAAACATGTCCATACAATTTCTTTTTAATTTGTTTTGTAAAAAAATTAATGAAGCAGAATTGCCTACATAATCTTAGTAAATTGATTTTATGTGTATCTGCCTGTGTATGAGTATGTGTGAATGTGTGCTTATGTTTGTTAAAGAAGGGCAATGTTTAAAACTCACTATTATTATTATATCAACTAATACAACACAATTCTACTTCATGTTCTTTTTAATTTTATCTTCAAATGCTTATTTTTGAATTCCCAGTTGCATGTCTGTTTACTGAACCATTTTTATGACTGTTCGTTTACCTCAATAAGAACCAAGCCCATACTCTGACTCACAATTAAAGTTCAAATATAAAACCATAATACCAGTACACCTTAATCAACAGTAAAATATGATAAAAGCCCCCATATGTTCTCAAAGCAGATTTGAAATCAGAAAATCAACAAAAATGAAAGACATTGTATAAAAAAAACACTTTCATGTAAGAAAAACAAATTCCTTATTTCATTCTGTTGACCCTTTACTATGTCACTACAGTATCTAGCATCCATTCCCCAAGACTTACCTGTTTCCTTTAAAGAAGGCTCACTTTTTGAATCTTAAATTAATTATTTATGTATTTGTTCAGTTTAGGTTAATAAAAACAAACAAACAAACAAACAAACAACAACAACAACAACAACAATAACCAAACAAAAAATCCAAATAAACAAACAAACAAAAAAAAACATAGCCAAAAACCCCTATGTGTTTATAAGATGTTAAAATACTAACAGTAAAAGCCATCTTGGATCCACTATCTGCAATATACAGGCATGCAAGAATCTTTTGTTAATTACTGATAAAATCTTAACTCCTTAGCAGGGGCTGTGGGGGACAGTCTCCTGGAACCCAGTAATACTCCTGGAACATACTAAAATATGCATTTTTGAGACTATTGCCCATCAAGCAAAGGTTCCTGCTGAGTGACATGATGACTTTTTTTGTCTGTGTAAGTTCACTTTTAAGCTATTGTCTCTCTGGTAGTTAGTGATGTTAGAATCATAATATAACTGTTATTTGGCTGAATCGATTGTCTAGCTTTGATTTTTAGGAGGATTTCTTTCTTGTTGTCAGGAAATTTTTTCCACTAATAGAATTTTTTAAACCTTAGTTCTTTAACTTAGGAGGTTATAAAGAACATTTTTGCAATTTGAATAAAATTAAATTCCCTGCTCCAAAGTTTCATGCAATGTCTTGGGATTTGGCTTGAATTTTCAGAGATGCTTTGCTGCTTTGCTCTTGTAGTTGCAGTTGCATTTTCCTATTTAATGGAGTGTTACAGAGAGACAAATAACATTATTAGGCTTCTTTACACTTTTTTTCCCTTATGCATAACAGCTCCCTAAAGTGATTGAAATGTTTCATGCAAAGGATGTTATTAAGTGGAGGTCTGGATATGAAGTCTGAATAAAAGGATGTAATATCACCAAACCATGAAATCATGTAGAAAAAAATTTGAGAGCACCAGGACACAGTAACTTTGTTTCATTTGTCCTCAGAGATACAAGAAACTGCAAAGACTGGTCAGCTCATTTTCCAGTCATTAAGATGGAAATTTCAGAGAACTTAGAAGTTCATGCTATGCACCCTGAGTCCCAGTGAAAGCAAGAGGAATAATTTTAGCAAGTTTTCCTATATTCCTAGAGAAACCTTTTATTAATGGAAAGATATATTTTGCCTGTTTTATTTCTGAATGCTGTGTTGTTTCACCCCAACCATTAATTCAAGCCCCACACAGGCATTTGCTCATTTCCCCAATAGTAGGATTGAGGTGTGAATCAGAGGTCTACCAGCTAGAAAACCCATGGGTTGAGATAAAGACAGTTTAATAAGAAAAACAAAAGACACACACACGCAAGCAAGACAAAACAAGGAAGCGATTCACTGCTTCCCTTGGGCAGGCAGGTGTTCAGCCATCTCCAGGACAGCAGGGCCCCACTGTGCCCACTGACTTGGGAAGAGAAACACCATCACTCAAAATGTCACCCTCTTTCTCCTTCCTGCTGTCACAGTTTTTATACTGAGCATGATGTCATACTGTCTGGAATATCCCTTTGGTCAGTTTGGGTCACCTGTCCCAGCTGTGTCTCCTTTCAATCTCCTATGCACCTCAAACTTCTTCACCAGTGTGGCACTATAAAAAACAAAGGTACTAACAGGAAATTACCTAAGAAGCCACTGCAGAAAGACAGACTTTGGAGAAATCTCAAAAGCAGGAAGGAAATATGGGAATGGGAATAGGAATAGGAATAGGAATAGGAATAGGAATAGGAATAGGAATAGGAATAGGAATAGGAATAGGAATAGGAATAGGAATAGGAATAGGAATCGGAGGTAAATGAAGGAAGTACATGGGAAGGCTGCTTTTGCCATCCAAGGACAAAAGGATATACATAGCATAAAATAATTTTTTATTTTATTATTTCTTAAAAAAAAATAGAGCATGGTCATCTCAAAACTGCAAGCAGGAAGTCCTGAGACATTTTTAGGTTGGTTGCTTTTCTTTGGTTATTATTTTACTTTAATATAAATTATTTTACTTTAATAGAAAATCTTCTCACCCTTAAAATCTTCATACAAAATGTTACTAAACCTGTGTAACTTGCCATTTGGATGGCAATAAACCTTAGGGATTCAGCAAGCAGTGGAAAGGAAATCTGTGTGGCCAGTGACAAACATCTTGCTTTCAACTTAGAAAATACTTATTCCACAGTTGGAAGTTGGGAGACAATTTGGAGAAATAAGTCCATATACTGTTGCTATCTTCAAAGTCCTGTTTTCCTTTCCTATTGTCCATTACCAGATACTACTAGAAATTGGATACTGTGATCGTTAGGTGTAGTCTTGTATTGTTTAGATAATATTTCTAATTCCCTGTTCCAGACAGAAGCTGAAAATAACTTATTTCATATCCAAAGGAAAAAAATATAAGCCTTTATTATTATTTTATATTTAATAATCTGTGCAAGAGTCAAAATGTTTCTAAGAATGAGATATCTGATAAGGATGATACTTTGAGATTTTATGAGAAAAAATAGCCTTACATTGCTTAAGGATTGAAAGGCCTTGTGGATGAAAATGCATTTTCTGAAACAACTCAAAGCAAATTTGCACTACAGGTGTAGCAAACAATTACAAAGTACTAGTAAATAAAATTATATTATCTCTGTTTCTTAAGTGTTGATAGGTCAGATTACCTGTGATTTGCTTTGTGAAAAAATGAAGTAAAAGAATGGATCAATAACACTTTTTTTTTACAAAAATTGTGTCCCTAATGGCCTTTTTGAAAGCAATTATGCAATAAAGGGATGATATTTTTATATGAGTATATGAACATGGGCTTGCAAGTGGATTTAATGACAGCTGACTATATATCTATGATCTTGTGATGCCCTCATGCTGCCATTGCTGTCATTGCTGGGACTGCTTCTTTACAATTGCCCAGCATTACCATAATAATAATTCATGCTTAGTATTCCTAGATCTATCTGTTCAGTGTGCAACTTAAATTACTTTATATCCAGGCTTTTTATATCTATGGTGTTTTGAAAGGGCTTAGAGAGTCTCTTAATGGACTTTATGATCATGTCATACTGGGCAAATCCTAGACAAATATTATTTTGGATGTATCTTTTATATTTATTAAGAGGAGATTATGTTCCATATAAAGGTTGATGCTTATCTAAGTCTGACAGATTTCTTTGTTTCAGAGTTCTCTGGAGATGGAGGATGGTTCTAGTAATGTCTGAATAAACTCACTGAAAATGTAATATTTCATTTATATGGTTTTTCAGAGAGAAATTTTTCTGAGCTGAATACAATCCAGTGCAAACTGCTTTACCACAAGTGTAATAACATGAACACTCTCTACTCAGCTGCCTTTTCAAGAATAGAGATATTTAAGTGTTGGATCACGAATATTTCCTATGGCATTAGTAATTACTCTTTTTCTCCCATACTCCTTCTTTGTTACAGTAAGAGACAATACCCTCACAGGAGGATATTGCATAGAGAAATTCCTAGTCAACGTGCAAGAAATATATCCTTTTGTCCAAATTCACATAGTAAAAAAAACCCAGTGACTTTTTGGTAACAGAGGTTCTCATAATACTATTCTGCTACAGTTATTTGATATTGCATTAATCTCTTATGGATTGTATGCATGTTGGGAGCCCTTTTATCTAAGAAGATATTTGCAGCTTGTCTTTATCCAGTGTGAGTTTGCTAACTAGCACAAAGGATCTGATTGGAGCAATCTCCAGAACAGTTTGCAGCTGTTGGATTTGGAATAAGACAACTTTACCTCAGTAGTACAGGTAAAAAGGAACTCAAACAACTCGGGAGTCATTTCTTGAATGTATAAAATTCTAAAACAAGCCTACTTCAATGTTTATATGTATCCACAATATATTTTAAGAAGGTGCTCAGGATGATCTTTAAGCTTGCATAATGTCCAAATGGTCTCGACAAAATCTCAGTCTCAGGCATATGTATTAATTGGGTTTTGGTGTAAAGAGCAGAAAATTTTGGGCGCATTTCTCTTCTCACCAAGATTTGAATAGTTAGAGTTACAGTGTGAATGAGCCACCAATGCTCAATCTCCCTTTTGGACAAAAAGCCTTTTCCTGATATCCAATCTAAACATCCCCTGATTCATGATCAGGCTGAGATGCTTGGGTCATGAGAGCGAAGAGATTAGTATCTGTCCCTCCACTTCCAATCTTGAGGATATTGAAGACTGCAGTGAGGTCTTCCCTCAGTCTCCT